TGTTCATCCAGGCCTCCGTTCAAGTCCAGCACAAAAATAAATAATAAAAAAAAGACAAACATTCCAGCCTTAAATCATAGTGTTCTCCAGCTCTGGTGGCTAACAACTCGCACAGGAGCTCATGCAGATTTGAAAGGCTGGCTGAGGCTCTCGGGTACCGCAGTCCGCAACAACTGCAGTACTAAAAGTTAGCCATAGCTGTTCTAGACAACCATACAAAATCTCTATTTAATGGAAAGAAGAGTTGTGCATTAATTAAATCAGGGTTCGGCAAATCCCAGGCACCAGGTCGCCTGGGATTTGTGAGCCTGTCCAGCCTCCGAGGTAACATGCTGCCTAAGAGCAGAGGTGGTCAGTCAGTGGGCTCTCTAAGGGCTGAGGCAGGTGGCTGACTGAGGGAGTGATAGGGCGGCAAGCTGGTTAATGGAGAGTTGAGGGAGGAGGGCAGCTGACTTAGGGATGGAGGGAGTGGCCGGCTGGCTAATGGAGAGCTGAGGGAGGCAGGCGGCTGACTGAGGGATGGAGGGGGTGGCCGGCTGGCTAATGGAGAGCTAAGGGAGGCAGGCGGCTGACTTAGGGATGGAGGGGGTGGCCGGCTGGCTAATGGAGAGCTGAGGGATGCAGGCGGCTGACCTAGGGATGGAGGGAGTGGCCGGCTGGCTAATGGAGAGCTAAGGGAGGCAGGCGGCTGACTTAGGGATGGAGGGGGTGGCCGGCTGGCTAATGGAGAGCTGAGGGAGGCAGACGGCTGACCTAGGGATGGAGGGAGTAAGCCAGTGCTTACATATGAGAACCATTCTATTGGGCAATTATTATGATCACTGCAGTTGATTGCCACAAATGCACCAGTGTTCTGGGTGCTGAATACAAAGGTGAGTACTATTTACTTTTAGGTCGGGGAGAGGAGGCCCACCTGGCACCAATAGGGTTAAAGGAACACTCCAAACTTTAAAATTTAATATTGTTTTTTTACGGCGGAGTATCCCTTTAAAGCTATTTTGTGAATAAACTCTACATTTGGCCTGGCTAATGGAGAGCTAAGGGAGGCAGGCGGCTGACTTAGGGATGGAGGGGGTGGCCGGCTGGCTAATGGAGAGCTAAGGGAGGCAGGCGGCTGACTTAGGGATGGAGGGGGTGGCCGGCTGGCTAATGGAGAGCTGAGGGAGGCAGACGGCTGACCTAGGGATGGAGGGAGTGGCCGGCTGGCTAATGGAAAGCTGAGGGAGGCAGGCGGCTGACCTAGGGATGGAGGGAGTGGCCGGCTGGCTAATGGAGAGCTAAGGGAGGCAGGCGGCTTACTTAGGGATGGAGGGGGTGGCCGGCTGGCTAATGGAGAGCTGAGGGAGGCAGGCGGCTGACTTAGTGCGGCGGCGAGGGAGGAAGCTGTAATCTCCCTGCTCTGCTCGCTCGTGCACCTTGCAGTGTTGCTGAGAGCCGGGTTATGAAGTCACTCTGGCCCCCGGTTCAGGAGGAGCTGAGTAGGGAGATGATAGCAGCCCCACTGGACCCCAGGGAAAGCCTATCCACTCCAGCTCTCCAAAGGTAGGGAAACTGATGGATTTAAATTAAAATTAAAAAAAGTAATTATTTGTGAGTGAGTATGTCTGTCTGTGAGTGTGTCTGCGTGTCTTTCTGTGTGTCTGTGAGTGTGTCTGTCTGTGAGTGTTTGTGTGAGTGTGTTTGTTTGTTTGTTTGTGTGTTTGTCTGTGTGTGTGTGAGTGTGTGTGTGTCAGTCAGTGAGTGTGTGTTCCCTCCAATCATATAGAAAGGTGTTTTTACTCACCATTTATCCCACCCTGCAGGTGGCCCCAAATCCATGACTGATATCATCAATCTTGATGATCTCAGCGAATCCAATTCTTCCCCATAGGAAAGCATTGGGAGACTATTGTGCATACACTGCAAAATGCCACTGCGCTAACTGACTTAACTTCTAATAGAGATGCATTGAATCAATGCATCCCTACAGGGAACATCATTCAGATAAATGCAAACCGAATCGCCAAGTCTAGTGGTCCTGTACTATGCATGCACATACAGCAATAATTGCAGTTTTGTGCCGAGGGCTAGTTACACCCCAGGCACATGTGACTTAAGTAGCCCTCCCTGCTTTGTCTACCCACACCCTCTCCCCTCCCTGGCTGAGGTTGCTCCAGTTTATGAGAAGTATTTGAGTGTACCACAAACAGGGAAGTGGTGACTTTGAACTGGACCTGAATGGCAGCAAAAGAGGCTTTTTTATTTTACAGGGTATACTACACAAAAAAGACAGGTAGATGTGCTAATAGTGTCTAATAGGGCATTTTAAAATAAAATATGCTTTTTATAAACAAGGGTTGATGTAGCCCTTTAACCCCTTAAGAACCAAAGTTCTGGAATAAAAGGTAATCATGACATGTCACACATGTCATGTGTCCTTAAGGGGTTAAGAGCCCAGAGTAGTGGACGCAACCTGAAGGATCAAACCAACTCCTGTGGACTAAGGTGCACATCCAAAAACATTTCTAGTGTTTATTTAAGAGACCAGAGTGCACCATACTTCAACCATACCTACATCTCCTCTAAAGCCACGACCCTGACCTTGACCACATCAGCTAACTACTAGTACCAAAGGCCAACAATGGATGAGACAAGAGATGTGCTTCACATTTACAAAAACATGCATTCTATGTCTTATCAGCACGGATTGCTATATTAAGCAGCCATTTAGTGTAAACAAACACTAAACGTCTCGCAAACATTTGCTTACCTACCTCGGAAACTGAAAACTGTTTAACTGTCTTCACGTGAGCATTGCTGAGTGATGATATTCCGGAACAAGTTAGAACAGAGTGGCTTCTGTAAAGACAGATGTTCTTATGCATTGAGGAGGATCATAGCAAACAATTAGGGGATTTACTTTCTTTTTCGTTGTGGGATTCCAAGTCTCCTTGTCCCTTATTCCATTCTTAGGAATGAATCAACAAAGCAAATGAGCGTTAATCCCCAATCTGAAACATAATACACTTTGTTGATGTATCAAAGAAATGTATACGTACACGGATTTCACAATTCCATTTTCTGATCTTATTAGAAGAGCTGGGCATCAGGTTATCAGCATGCATTCGAAACAATTTATACTGTTACTTCCTAACGATATAGATAAATATTATGGCTGACTTTCCCAATTATCATTTGTCTTGAAAGGACATTAAAGAAACAGTCCTAACATTCTTTCGGGTTAGTTGCATGGCTTTCTTGTCCTAATTCACAAAGTGCCAATTTCAAGAGAAATCTGCACTTTTATTAATTGTTTTGGAATATTTTAGGAACACCCGTCCCCCCTAAGCTGACAGCAAATAGGTCTTCGTGATTCATGTGATTGTTGAAGCAGAAGTTAGAGTTTCCATGGGAAAGCATTAGCCCTGGGCTACCCAAAAGATAGATCCCCATATGTTTTAAAACTACAGTTTCCATAATGCATTGCCACTCTAAAGGCATTCTAAAGGAATGCAAAGCATCATGGGAGTTGTAGTTCTACAAAATTAGGGGATCTACATTTTGGGCAGCCCTGCATTAGCCAGTGCCTACATATGAGAACCATTCTATTGGGCAATTATTATGATCACTGCAGTTGATTGCCACAAATGCACCAGTGTTCTGGGCGCTGAATACAAAGGTGAGTACTATTTACTTTTAGGTCGGGGAGAGGAGGCCCACCTGGCACCAATAGGGTTAAAGGAACACTCCAAACTTTAAAATTTAATATTGTTTTTTTACGTCGGAGTATCCCTTTAAAGCTATTTTGTGAATAAACTCTACATTTGGCCTGTTTAATGATTTAGAAATGATAAAAGATAACGATATGTGCCCATAGCTTCCACAAAGGAACATAGGGTTTCACTGTCCATTTAAACGTTATCCACCTACTAAACCATTTGTTTGAAATGCATTTGTTTGATATTTTCGGTTTTGTTCCAAAAAAGTCAAACAGATACAGCTACATCTTTTCGGCAGATCATCTTCAAAGCTTTTACAGAGAGAGAACAAGAGAGAGGGTTTTCAAATTACACTTGGAATTTTTTTATTGTTTACAGCAGTAAAAATAAAATACGATCTGAAATGTATGTTTGTTTTTTTTAACAAAGAGATAAAGACGTCTAAACACGTGTAACTGTAATGAAAAGAATATATTATAATATAGTGTATCATCATAAAAAGAATATATAATAATAAAGTGTATCATCATAAAAAGAATATATATGACACAACAACCAAATTCATGCATATAGATCTAAACGGATATTTTATGTCAAATATATACATATATATGTATGTATGTCAACGCCATAATGTAGCTTTTGGTTTCTTCAGAGCACTATTTTCAAAGATATGTTGCACTCCTAGAATCAACCTCACCCTATGTGGCTTCATTTTCACGTCATATTTCCCAGCCCACAACAAAACGTTTCATGTCAGCCACGTTAGAAAAAGAATGACGAACACGGGCCGTGCGTGGCACTGCAGACATCATATATCACTATATGTCTGCAATAATAAAAAATAGTAGGTGTTTCAGCTAAGACATTGACCGTCAAATATAGAAGTCTATTACACTGACGTTGCAGGGAGAGCTGGAAATATTTTAATACTGACATCTACCATAAGCCTCATTGGTTGTCCAATATCATTACTCCCTCAGGATAACCTTGTTCTGCTCTCTTTTTATCGTTCATGTTATACATTCTTTTCTCTTTCGTTCTTCAATTCATTCTTATTTTCATCCAATTTTTCCAATGATTGGCCTGATTACCATATTAGATGTCTACATACTTGAACCAAGCCCGTTAAACGCCAAACTTCATACAAGTGGGTTGCGACCAGTGTGCTATGTCAAACTAATGTGCCACAATGCGTACTACAAACCCATAAAACATGCTATCATATTGAATTTATCTCACAAAATTATAACAATATAGAAGCGGTTTTAATGTCTCAATTTAAGTCATTTTAAATGGTTACTCTAACCCTTAAAATTGATTTTTAAAATAAAAATGAATAATAGAGGGAATAGAGAAGGAAGAGAATTAAAAAAAAAAATAAACAGAGGGGATGGGGAGGCTGCAATGAGGAGGGGACACATTAGCTTACCCATGCAGGCTTTATGTTGGCAGCGTGCAGTGTATGCTGGATGTAAAATATGCACAAAATTGACATTAGGTAGGCCAATGATGCGTGTGCTGGGGATGCAGTTATCCCACGGCACAAAGTCCTAATTAATTAATTGTTTCAAGCTGAAACACTATGCAGCTAGATTCCTTCTTCTAAGACCACTTCAAAAAGTACAAGTGGTCATGGGCGATGGAGTAACCGTTTAAACAAAAAAGATCCCCTCTTCAAGGGTACCATATGGGACATGCAGTTAATTGAAGAAAAGTCACATACAAGATTGTATGAGATAAATTGCTTTCATTTCAACAGCTGCTGTTGATAAAAAAATTAGCCTTTTGAATGTATCAAAATTCTACTGCCCATATTTGGTAGTACAGGTTGAAAAAGAGACAGTTACCCAAATATATTGAACTAGAGCTTATCAGAGGTTTTTACAACTTGCCCTTTGGTTGAACAGCCCCTGAGTACAAATCCAGCGAGGACAGACTGTGTATTAGAATTATAATTAGGGTGTTACTTACCAACATCATTGCGTTTATTTATCCCCTCAAACTGACCCTAAATGTACCCCACTAATTGCTGTAATACATGCCTAATTTATTTATCAATAATTAGCTACATAAATTACTTAGCCTCTAAATCTATGTTTTGGAACTCTTGTTTAATTAATCACTAAGAAGCCAAGCACCCATGTAATCTTTTAAAAGGTTGCTTAAAAAGTACATAACCAACTTACATTTAAACTGGAGTAAAAACAGTTACATTCTTTAATTCCGGCCTCTTTTCAGGACTTGGCAAGCAATTTCTAATTTTTCTTAATTTGAAACAATGAGAAAGATTTTCATTTAGCGCACCCAAGCTTTACTAAACATCACAAATATGCATCCCAAGGCACTTATCCGATAGTACCTAACACCAATTATCATAATGTCTGAAGCCAAACATATAGTGATTGTTGTTTATTTAAATGTCTAGAGTGAATTCAGGAAAATGCTTAGTTAAATGAACCACAATCGAACACATGAACGTTTTCTATTTGCAGTTACATGCAAGATATGTATTTTAAAGCCATTTCTATATAATAAATCTTAGTATAGTATAGTACTTTTTGACCATGTTTAATTTTAAATCTTTTTTTGTGACATATGTTGTGATTATTGGATAATTTTTTTATCAATACAAAAATAGTTTTTCATGTCATATTTTATGTGATTTACTATGATGGTATATGTATGTTTTCTATACCTGTAGTGGGCAGTCATAGCTTATTACACTTCAGAATAAACTTGGAGAGGGCGTGGTTCAGTGGTGTATCCTGGTTTTGTGCTGCCCTAGGCAGGACAAAACTCAGGCCCCCCCCACCTCAGCCCCCCCAACCCTTCCCCCCCCACCTTCTAAATACACACACACACACACATTCACTGACAGATACGCATACACTCGCTAACAGAAACACACACACACTAACAGACACACTCACACTCAATAACAGACACACACTCACTGACACACAGACTCACAGGCAAACACACTCACACTAACAGACACACACACAGTCAGACACACACACATACAGACACACACACACACTCACTAGCAGACACACACACTCACTGACACACAGTCAGACACACACATACACACTAACAGACAAACACAGTCAGACACACACACTAACAGACACACACTCACTCACTAGCAGACACACACTAGCAGACACACACACACTCACACTCACACAGTCAGACACACACACACTAACAAACACACATTAACAGACACACACTCACTGACACACACACACCCAGGCAAACACACTCACACTAACAGACACACACACAGTCAGACATACACACTAACAGACACACACACTAACAGACACACACACACTCACACACACTAACAGACAAACACACACTCACTAGCAGACACACACACACACACAGGCAAACACACACTCACTGACACACAGTCAGACACACACATACACACTAACAGACACACACAGTCAGACACACACTAACAGACACACACTCACTCACTAGCAGACACACACACTCACACAGTCAGACACACACTAACAAAACACACACACATTAACAGACACACTCACAGACATATACACACACTCACTCACTCACATTAACACATTTTTATTTATTTTTTTATTTACCCCCCCCCCCAACCTCCTTACCTTTGGGAATGCTGGGGGGAGGGTTCCCTCTCTCCCTGGGGTCCAGTGGCTGCTGGGCTTGGCGGGCGGCATGCGAGGGAGCTGAGCTGACCGCTCAGGGAAAGTGTTTCCTCGCCCGCACGCCCGCCCAGCGCCGCCCGCCAGCCCAGCATGTCTGTTAGCCGCGAGGCTAACTAGGCATTTGCCTGGGCATTTGGGGGTGGCGTTTTTTGCCGCCCCCTGAAAAATGACGCCCAAGGCAAATGCCTTGTTTGCCTCGCGGTTAAAACGCCCCTGGCGTGGTTTACGGCGCCGATAGTCGGGGCGCGTAAGTGCAGAGCTCCGTCACAGTCTGGCCTCAAAAACAAAGGTTACCCTATTCCCCAAAGAGATTGCTCGACACAAGAGGAAGAGGCAGACCCCAAAAGGGGATAAATGAAGCTTATTTACAGTTTGAACATCTCAAGCCAAGTTACAGGCCTCACAAGACCTTGACCAAGATGGCGGAGATAAGGGTCCCTATGCTATCTTAGCCATTACTTGTAAATGTACATAGCTATTAGGAAAAATGTGATTCATTGTTAAACTAATTTGCATATGCCCACCCAGAAACCTTTGCGGTTGTAACATCACTGCAGATTTGGGATTTCTGTGGGAAAAGCAAGTCTTATGGCTTGACTGGTGTGCAGATTTTTGTTTAACATTGTATTAACTATCCACAGACTTCAGGTGGAAGGGGTTTTCAATCACAATTTTTCCCCACCATAACCTAATTGGATTTTGCTTCCCAAGCACTACCAAGCCTCAATAAGCAAACCAGTAACCAACCTCATGCTGAAGAGTTGCATTAACAACGAAACAGCTGTCCATGAGTGGTTCACTGGTTTTGCATCTTTTCCTAAATTGTGTTCCAAGCAGTTGTATACTGCAAACACAGATTAAAAGGAATCCATGTTTAAAATGGAATGAGGCAAAAATTTGATTCTTTGTTAAACTAATTTGCATATGCCCACCCAGAATCCTTTGCGGTTTTAACATCACTGCAGATTTGGGATTTCTGTGGGAAAAGCAAGTCTTATGGCTTGACTGGCGTGCAGATTTTTGTTTAACATTGTATTAACTATCCACAGACTTCAGGTGGAAGGGGTTTTCAATCACAATTTTTCCCCACCATAACCTAATTGGATTTTGCTTCCCAAGCACTACCAAGCCTCATTAAGCAAACCAGTAACCAACCTCATGCTGAAGAGTTGCATTAACAACGAAACAGCTGTCCATGAGTGGTTCACTGGTTTTGCATCTTTTCCTAAATTGTGTTCCAAGCAGTTGTATGCTGCAAACACAGATTAAAATGGAATGAGGCAAAAATGTGATTCTTTGTTAAGCTAATTTGCATATGCCCACCCAGAATCCTTTGCGGTTGTAACATCACTGCAGATTTGGGATTTCTGTGGCAAAAGCAAGTCTTATGGCTTGACTGGTGTGCAGATTTTTGTTTAACATTGTATTAACTATATATATATATATATATATATATATATATATATATAAGTATAATATATGAGCTCCTAATTCTACCTTTATTGGTTATGTTTTACTTTTCTCAGTTGATCTGTGGACAGAATGGCAGGAATATGCTCCTATCAGTGTCTTGCAATATATATACATAACATTATAATATGGGTATAAATGGCTGTACACTGATTGACCTATTTCATGCCTTTTTTGTTTGTACTTTTGATACAGTTTCCTAAAGTGCTGCTATCATGATGAGAACTACTTGACTATTCAAATCCAACAAATGCAAACGAAACCTTCTACTAATAGAGTGGAAAGAAGTAGAAACATAAAAATATAGAATATGACGGCAGATAAGAACCATTCGGCCCAATTGTGTCTGCCCAACTAGACGTTAAAACGTGATTCTTCATAACTATCTCATGATACTTAATGACACTTATCACTAGTGTTTTTTGTTTCCACATTAGACACAACTAATAAATTATTTGCAATAGATAATACTTGAACTATAACTACTTAGTTACACTACTTAGTGACAATTATAACCATCATTATTCCATACGATGTGTGTGAAAATGAATCTGAGAAACGTGGAATTATCACCATGGAACACAGAATGTTTCAACTGATTGCTCCATATTTTGAACAACACTCAAAAACTGCAATTTATACAGAATCGTCTTGATATCTAATGTTAGTCACATTGTAAGCAGTGAGAATAAAAGAGGACAAGCATAATTAGTGAGTGTGTGTCATGTAAGTCTTTTAAATTGTATTGTCTGTGGTTTGAGAATGATACTGTTGTAACTTCGATACAAGTGCTTGCTTGTACATCTCTCTGATATTTGGACATTAATGTTTAATTAATGTTTATAATATTTGATGTCTTTGATGTTTTCGTTTTCACTCTCCTATTAAAGTGGCTTGGTGTAACTCGTTATTGTAGCTGATTTGAAAGCATACATCTGAGGAATATATCCATAAAAGGAATGTTTTCATTTTAGTGTATTTAACTAATTCTCTGGGAAATGTTTATATTGAGGGAGCTGTCTGCCGAGGATTTGCCAGAGGTTACAGCAGTGGAGGGTACAACTTGTAGCCACTATTTATATATGTGAAGGAAATGGTAAAAAATAATTAGGTTGACACACTTCATGGGAACAGTTGTGGTCACTTCTCGTTTAAATAAAACAATGCTATATAAAAGAAGTAATTAGAAGCTTATAATCCACAAGCATTGAGTTTGCATCATATGTGACCCATTTGCAGGGATCATCTAGATCCGGGCTCAAAGGTTCCATTCATCACAAGCCATTGGCAAGTGCATATTCAATCTTGGAGACCATGACATGGAAACTCCATGCTTGCAGTGACAAGTAACATTTAGGTCTGGCTAGAAGCGAAGAACTTTTGATCCTTCATCTCAATCAGTGGTAGGCTACCTTCAGTACTCCAGATATCGTGGACTACATCTAGCATAATGCTCTTATAGCCATAATGCTGGCAAAGCACCAAGGGAGATGTAGTCCAAAACATCTGGAGTGCCGAAGGTTGCCTTTGCCTGATCTAGACCATGTCCCTTTTCCACCTTTACAACTAATAACATATATATAAATACTAGGTTTCTTGAGTTTAAAGTAGACTTTTGTGACGCCATGCAGTATGTGCCGGCCAACTACATACAATTGACTGCAGAATGCATTTGGGGCAATGAAGATTCCTTTCTTTCCATTAACTCATTAAAGCAGGCTATATCTGGCTTCATTGTAAGTTGGAAGTAAAGTAGCTAAGTGATTTTTAAGATATATCATTACGAAACATTATTCAGCTGGGATAATTAGTTTGAAATGTAGGTTAATTTGAATCCTATGGAAAGCACATTGTGCAATATAATTTGTAGATATCACAATGACTTATGGAATCAGTCTATAAAATACTTAAGAATAATTCTGATTAAGATTGGGGGACTATGATAAATCTTCCAAAAAAATACTTATATTGGAGGAAGGAGGTTTGTTACTCTGAAATAAGTATTACACTCTGCTTAATAAGGACTACTGGAGTAACCTGGCATGATTGAAAAAGGAAACTAGGCTACGGGACTCCAGGCACAATAACCACCTCAATGAGACAAAATGGTTGTAGTGCTTTGAAAGTCCCATTACAGACATAAACGTGTAAATGTTTCTAGTATGTACAAATCAGTAGCTTAATAAAGCATAGATATGAACTGTGATTATTATTTATTTAGTTATTTTTATTCAAGTCCTAACTGGCTGGGGGATACCACAGTATGCTCAAGGTAATATGGGTGGCACAGTTTGAGTACTCTAAAGAATGCACACAAAAAAACAATGTTATACTCTAACTTCTGTATAACTTTGACACATAGAGAATAGAGACTAACTTACAATTTAAAGAAAACACAGCAGATTTTAATCCCTTAGAACTGCTCTTTGGAATTCCCATACATCAAACCGTAGAACTTTGTATGATATAGAACTACAAAACATTAGTAAACAGTAGTATAGAGAAAGACACAGTTTGGGATGCAAGCACACAGATACAGCACACACAGATACATCACACACCGATACAGCAAACACCCAGATACGGCACACACAGATATAGCACACATACACACACACACACACAGATACAACACACATACCCATCACACACAGATACAGCACACACAGATACAACACACAAAAGATACAGCACACACAGATACAGCACACACACACAGATACAACACACAGATACATCACACACCGATACAGAACAGACGCCGATACAGCACACATACGCACACAGATACAACACACAGACAATTTGCACACCGATACAGCACACACAGATACAACACACAGATACATCACACACCGATAAAGCACACACCGATACAGCACACACACAGATAAGGCAAACACAGATACAGCACACACAGAGATACAGCACACACCGATACAGCACACACACAGATGCAGCACACACAGTTACAGCACACACACAGACACAACACACACACAGATACAGCAAACACAGATACAGCTCACACACAGATATGGCACACACATAGATACATCACTCACATACATACAACACACAGATACAGCACACACACAGGTACAGCACACACAGATACAGCACACACACACATACAACACACAGATACAGCACACACAAATATAGCACATACACAAATACAGCACACACACAGATACAGCACACACAGATAAAGCACTCACAAAACTGCACACACACAGATACGGCACACACACACACACATACAACACACAGATACAGCACACACAAATACAGCACAAACTAGCAGTTCACTGCTAGCCACCAGGATACCACTCTCACTAGCAGGTGGAATTTTTTACATAGCATAGGGCTGCAAAAAGTGCAGTTCAAGACGTGATTATACATTACATTGAAACAGTAAAACCACCATGTCTTCATTTGCATAATAACACACGTTGTATTTTGAGGTGTTCTGTGACACACATTTGTTTTCATTTTTGGTAAAACTTCCCCTTTAAAATATTCTATTGTCTTTGAAGCCCACCACCAAAGCCCCCATTAGCTAATACTCTCACCTAACGAATGACAAGGGCAAAGGACGATAGGTAACCAGCACCACACACTATCATCGCCAGTCGACCAATCAAGGACAGGTGGGCACAACAGGATCTCACCCAGAAATGTTATGCTGGTGACAATCATCTCTGTTCTGTAACTTGTCTCTCCCCCACCCTTTTTTTCTGTACCTTTAATATCTGTAAGTAACACTGTTGAAAATAAATAAATAAATAAATACGAAAAATAAAGAATGTTAAAATATTCTATTGTTTCCAAGATGCTAAAATATGCCTCTACTTTCCACTTTGTCAAATCATTTTTAGATTCACGTGTTCCAACTAAGGACCACAAGTTTAGCTTTTTCTATCCACAGATGATGTCACTATTCCATCCACAGATGATGTCATCATTCCATCTACAGACAAATGTATTTTTCGTTCCAACTAATGATGATTGCTTAGAGTTGTGGAACATAGAAACAGATAGCATGTCACAAATAAACAACTAGAGTGATGAGTAAAGTTGTACACCTTCATACAGCATTAGCACAATTGCCTTGGGGAAGAGGTTCCATTTATGCCAAAACTATGTATGATTCCTCTGGTTTTCCAAAAACCTGTCCACCCATTGAAGATAAATGGAAGCTGCTGGAATGAGCTCTTCACACTGAGATATCTTCTATTCATTAAACTAAATCTTACACGTTGCTTATTTAGTCCCTTTTTTTAATTGAAGTTTGTAACAGCATAGGAACAGTTGACAGACAAAGGTAGCAATTATACAATATAGTCAGTAGGTTATACTCATAAGAAGTGGAACACCTAAGGGATCAAAGGGGTGAGAGAAGGCTTAGAACGAGAATGGACGTTAGTCTATGTACTCATGTCTGTAGGAATATAGACGAGGAACCCGAAATCCTGTGTTACATTTCCTTACAGTTACAAGCAGTCTTCAGAGATTCTATGAGAGGAGGAACTGTTGGAGTCGAAATTCTGTTCCTAATGCTTTGCTAGATTGGTTTTGGCAGCAACCAGAAAGTGCATAATTAGACCAGCATATCCAAAAGAAACACTTGTGGAAGCCAAGGTAAGATTTGGCCGGTAACATGTGAGATTAGGAGTTACACATTCTACCAATCGTTCCCAGTACCTCAATCCCATGCTGATACACTCGCAGGTTTATTCGCTAAGGTGAGAACTGTCAGGAATTTAAAGTCAATTCAATGTTTAGGCCAAAGTAGCCAAACTGAAACTAGAATTACCTTGATTTTATTTTCTAGTTTTTCTATATTGGCCTAAATGTTGGAATTCACTTTAAATTCTCTGCAATTATCATTTTACAGAATCAAGTGAATGTGTGTGTTCAAATATATCGCTTTCTTAAAAAAAAAAAAACTGCCATTAGGCAACAGGCACGTTGCGAAGACGGACCTTTCAAGTTACTTTAGAGAATCTGGGTTCAAATGGAAAATTGAAGGTTCTGCAAACCAGAGCTTTTACTCCAAGTCTTTGTACACGTAAAAAGGAAGATCATTTCACCACTTGTTATCCTTTCTAGAGCCAAAAATTGCAACATAAAAATAATAAGCAGCAGGTGGTTAAAGAAGAATGAAGTTTAACAGCAGTCTTCCGAACACTGCAACGTGTAGGAGTGGGAAGCACAGCTGTTGCCAGTATCTGGTTATTCACACGGCAAACCTTTGGAGCCTGGAAGTGAGAAGAAAGAGAGAGGAATGAACGGTTTAAGGAACAGTTTCTATTTACATATCCACAGTCCAACGTTGGTTGAATTCATTAAGTTAAAGAAGAACATTGGAGTGGAGCTCATACAACTTGCCCTGAGGGAGACACTTATCAGATTATTGAGTTTGCTGTTAGACTGACTTCATGTTTCCTTAGTTTGATTAATTTTATGGTATTTTTTTGTTTGTTTATGCCAATGAATGTGTTCCAGTCACATAATTAATTTTTTTTAATATTTTCTAAATCATCTCCTAAAAACAAAAAATCAGTGGAGCAGGTAGGTGAGCACGGGTTCACATGCTCATTCCCTCGGCATATGTCCAGACCACATAAAGACTATCCCGCTCAGAGTGCCAGAAGGTTGCCAGAAAGAGTCCATCCTGCATAGGTGTCCAAAAATGAAAATGACTCTCCATGAGCCTAATCTGTCTGTGGACTTTCTCCACTTTCCTATATAATAAAACACATTGTAGATGACCAGATGTCCATTGTAGTCAACCATTGATAAAGCAGCAATCATATTTTGATACAATCATCCAGTCATCATTTTTGAGTCCCTGTTTAAAATGACTTTCTAGTTGCCCCTATATTCACTACATACAATGTATTAATCACACATAAACACTACGTCGGATGTCGGTAAACAGATATGAATTGATACATCATAATAAAGTATGAACACAGCAGGTGGAAGACCTAAAGGCACATCTTCAAAAATACAAAAGTGTATTGTATTATACTCTACCCGATAAGCTAACTCTACATTTTAAGGTGACAAATCTTCAGCCTCACTGTAGCATATCAACCCCAAACATTACTTACACAGATTTAAAATTTTTGTAAAAAAATAAATATCCCATTTAGTTAATATGATTAATCTAACCAACAGGCTCTGGAAATCCCCTGTTTAAAATACACAGACGGAGTCAACTCTTGAAAAATACAAACAAAATAGGGAAAGCCCCTTTTACAAGCTCAGCTCCACCTGGCAAGAATGCGATTTTAAGGCAAATTACATCAAATAGAGTTTTGTCGAGCAGCAAAAAAAACTTTTCATAGATAGGCATATGCTGATGCATTGAGACTGAAAGTAGGGCTCAATTAAGGTGGGCTAAAGATTAGGTGAGTCTTAGAAGACCAAAAACAAATGGTGCCTGAGTTACCTATCTTTAAATTTACCTGAAGTACCATATATGGCCACTGGGGGAGCATGTGACACATAATATACTTACAACAATAGATCCTGCTATGTGTTCCCTATGTATTTTCCTTTTTTTAACCTCTTCATTGCCAGTGACCAGTTAGTCTGTGTCAATGTTTTGTGGGCACCATGCACATTTATCAACATGACATCTGGTGTGCCATTTGAAGCCTGTTACTGAGATTGACACCTCACATCTACAGAATTTCCTTTACCCATCACTGAATCTTACTTGTAAGGGTGCAAAAGTATTTAACTGTAACTGTAAAAAAATTAAAATAATACTATATTTTCCTGAGTGAAGTCTCTGAATGCTATCATTTTAGTGCTCAGTATAAATCAACGCAGTCAGTACAGCTTTGCTTCTTTCAATAAGGCTCATGTTGGTTAACTTGCCATGTCCGCCTCACAGTCATTAACCACCCCAAGTCATACTCCTCATCCCAGCCCTATTCCTTCACACACGCTTTAACATTTCCTCACTCATCTCAGCCACATATTCTGTATCATCCAGTTTAATGTCCTCCATCACTCAGCTGTGCTTTCTCATCCACCCTAATCCCTGCAATATTTTCTATCTCACCCCACCTAAATTTTTTTGCCTCACCTTCGAAACATTCCCTCCCTCATGCTCAACCATTTTGTTCCTTCGGGCCACCACATTTCCCCCTCCACACCAGTAATTTCTTCTTCTCCTTCACCTCCATGTCCATATTTCTTCCCTAATTTTTAAGACACGATACTCCATCCACGGTGGCCAGGCAAGGAAGGAGCCCTTAAACTGGGTCTATTTTGCAAACAATGGAAGAAAAAAACTGCTTTTTTGCGTGACATATCCAAGCTGAGAAGTAGAGCATGGGGTGGATCTGTTCTGTGAACACTGATCCACAAGTCAGAGAAGATAAACTGCAGATAACTTCTTCAGGAGTGCCACAGACACCGTTTTTGCTAAATTGCTTTGCCATTCAGAACAGACCATCTGAAGTGACCTATCAAGTGACCTATAGCTTGACAAACTGATAGTAGGAACTGCTCTGTGCGGCTGTGGAGTACTGTTCCTCACATAGACCAATGGCCTAATAGAAGTGATTTAGACCTACATGGTAATTCCCACCTCCTGTTTCTCATCTCTCCTATGAGTCCTATCCTTCAAGATTGTAAGTCCTCACAGTATTAGGTCCCTCAACTCTTCCTGTATTTATTTGACAAATGTTGGATTGTCTCAGATAAATGGTACAAGCCAAGCACAAGTATCTTTGTCTTTGTACTTGTACCATTCATACCCATGAACTGCACTGCTGAATGTATTGGTGATGTATAAATAAAGTATAATAATAATAATAAAAATGTCTAACTGGTCACTAAATACTATTAACATCCCCACAGGCAATAGGATGCAGAGCTCTTCTGACCCTCGGCACAGCAGAAGATCGGTAATATAGACACTGCTTTTTCTAAACAATGCTTTCACAAAATATGGGAGAAGAAACATATTGTTACCATATAAAATAATTATTTTCATTATTTGCAATTAACATTCCTATAGGAAACCGTTTTACAAACATTGTAGCCCTATCTACTTTCGAGCGTGTCCTCATTGAAAACAAAATAACGGAGAGTCAGCTGCATCACATGACAGTTTTGGTCATTGTCTATCATTGTTAATGACTTCAGTTGTATTACTACTGTGAGGAATCAATCCAACAGAGAGAAACAAGAACAGACATTCTAACATTCTAATTTATATCGCTACCCAGAATCCTCGGAGGAAAGTACAGAACACATTGCATTAAAAACACACAGATATAACTGAGACAAATAAATGAAACTCATACATGTTATGTCTTGACTATGCTGTATGGAGAGGTGGGGTTCTTAATTACCTTTCTCTTAAAACTGCATTCAGCGCCATTCAAAACCCTCATCTTCAAATATACTAACAATAGAAGGTCTTAAGTTGCTGAATGAAGATCATGTAAGATTAATGATAGATATAAAAAATAACAATTTTTATTTTTAAAACATTGAGAGTCACACCATTTGCTCATGTTTGCTATCATCACTTTGGGGTTTTGTCAGTTCAGAGATAGGCTGAGACTATGGGAACTTACAAACATTTTTGGTTGCTCCCAGCATGCACAGCCAACCTCTGCTCAGGCCGTGAGCTAGAAGATCATGATCGAACATAAGAAGAAAAACAAAGGTCATTGGTCTAGATCAAGGATAGACAGCCTTTTGCAATGTCCGATGCTCTGTGGTGCTCAAGACTATTGATAGTTAAACTATACTAAACTAATTCTGCCTGACAATTAATAATATTACATAGTTCAAAAATGTAATTCATGGGAACTTTCTGTTGGTGACCTGAATGCAGGACTTCTAGAGCAGTGCTTAATGTACTTTGTTGGTCAAGCTGCCAACTTTAAGAGATATTTCACCAAGTTTTATGGTTGAATCAGCTTGTGGATTCCCTTCACTCCCATTGGATCTCTTCAGATCAATCAATATAAAGGTTTGGTTGACTCAATATTTATGAACACTAAGAAGTGGAGAAAGACCTGTTGGGTAGCCGTAAGCAGAATCTGAGATTAGAGCCTTTACTTTGTAGCTAAGCGATCAGGTTTGATTCTTGGTATCAGTGTGGCAAATTTGAAGCGTTTTCAGGTACATCAAGCAAGAATAAAGACAAATAATTATCTTTTAATTTATAATTTGCTAATTCCCTTTTTGTATCTAAAGTAGCTATTTTTATTCTATACAAGAAACAAAAACACACCATTATGCAAAACAGCATTACAGATGAACTGAGCATGAAATAATTAGCATGGCACATTTTACACACTTTACACGGTTCACAGATATCTCTTTACCTGAAAACAATTATATTTTCATTGTTTATCAGTGGTTATCAAGCCAGTCATTCTCTTAGAATGCTGTGCCTATTAATATTGTTTCAGCCAAAAGACAATGGTAATCGCAAGTTTCCTTGTAAAGAAGACGTTTTGATTTCATCAGTTTTCAATCATAAAACCACGAAGACAAAATTAAATTAATTCACAAAATATTTAGTGGTGGTGAGATGCATCATCAAGTCCTGAAGTACGTGGTACAAATACTTTGAATAATGTAATACCAAATTATGAGAGTGGGCAAAGGTTTAAAAAATAATATCAGGAAGTATTACTTTACTGAGAGGGTAGTGGATGCATGGAATAGCCTTCCAGCTGAAGTGGTAAAGGATAACACAGTAAAGGAGTTTAAGCATGCGTGGGATAGGCCTAAGGCTATCCTAACTATAAGATAAGGCCGGGGACTAATGAAAGTATTTAAAAAAAATTGGGCAGACTAGATGGGCCGAATGGTTCTTATCTGCCGTCACATTCTATGTTTCAATAACCTAAGTTGGGTAATGGAAAAATAATTCAACAGCTGCTCAGTCGATTTTGTTCGAGAGTGTCAGTTAAGTGCTTGGGGAGTAAAACATTATAACAAATATTTTGCTAATACCACAACATTAAATGTTTAAGGTTACATTTCTCTTTTGGTTTCAGTTTTGTTTTTGTTAATTTGATTATTTTTTTCATTCTCAGAGAAGCTATAGAAAATGATGTAGTAAGTGATTTTTTGTTGTTGTTTGTTAGCATTTACGTCATATTGCATATAGTTTAGTTTTACAGAATTTTTTTTCTTTAAGAATTATTTCCCTTCCCACCATCATCACATATCAATGATCAGTGCACACGAGTGAAAAAAAATAAGACTTGTTTTGGGGTCGTTGTACACATGAAGGAAATGTATTGTTCCATTGAACGAGCCAAGAGAGAAGTGGAAGCTTGGTGGACGGTTCCACCATAAATAGGCCATTACAAGCCGCAATGAATGGGGAAGTTGTGCTGCCTGACACTGCTGGTACTTTCACTATTTTAATCATTATTTATGGGTTCAATGAATCTTGGAGAAAGATATTGCAGTCAATTAAATGCTACCAGCTGGCCGGGGAGTCCAATAAACAGACTTTTCATGTATACGAGTCCTAGATAACAATTAGAAATATTTTAATCTCAGGCACTTCAGTTAACCTTTACTTTAGAGCAGGATTTTTTTTTTTGTAAGTAACAGGATATTGTTAGTGATTTGACTGGCGTGGGACTCGGGGGAGGGAAGTGGATAGATGCAATTCATGCTGTTTTTGTTTTTTGATTGAGATTAATAAACATATCTCACATTTTCTGAGCTATATTTAAAAAAAAAAAAGAATGCTTTAGAATTTTTAACAAGGATACCAGTGATCTTCTGAGATGCAATATCATTGAGGTTGCTCAATACTGGATGACTTGCTGTTGGGCAAACTACAACTCTCTTCAATACTTGTCAGCTACTTCCACTGCTATTCCAATGCCCAAATTAAAAAAAATCCCCATTTAGTAGATATACCCTCAATGAAAGCATGCATGCATTTATAATGCTAATTTAGGATATGTCTAAAAACTGTTTGCAAAAGCTGCAGATTTCTTGTCTGATGCCTCTGCAAGCCCTCCCATTCTAACCCCGCCCAGACTTTGTGTGGCTGTCCAATCGCTGACTTCCCAGTGCAGCTCAATGAGAAGTCTTTGCAAAGGTGCTCTGGGCAATTGTTGAATTGTTGAGCTATCAGTTTCCACTTAGCTAAACTACCAGGAAGTAACAGGACCGGTTGTCTGATCTGGGGGAGGTATTTAACAGGTTAAAGGTTAATTTAAAAAAAAAGTCTGTTGAAATCTACACTTTATCAATATGGAAAAAAAGAGGGCACACTCTTCAAACATAAAGCACTTGAGCAACATAAAGTGTTTTAGGGGTCAGGATTGTATGTTTAGTATTTCAGTGTGTAATTACTCAGTTAGCTAACAGTTCCATACCTTGCCTATTAATATCCCTGCATTATACATGCTGTTGATTTTTCTCATTCTTTGAGTAGTGTTCAATATTTTTATTTTCCATATTTTATGTTTTGGTGTAAATAAATAATAATAATATATATATATATATATATATATATATATGGCAGCCTTAGTGACATTTTTAATATTCATTATATTTGATAATATATATATATTATTTGTCATTATCATACTATTTAACATTGGGCACTCTGAGAACTATAACCCCTATAGTTTAGTGTAGTAGTTACGGTGCAAAGAGTTTATGGCCACCATTTCTCTTTTATTTGGTAAATTATTTTGGAGAGATGTGACATAAACTCGGGTCTCCTCAACACCCACAGTCTGCCCCCCACTCCAGCCTCATTGATAACGCAGAATTTACTCATTTCCATTCTGTCTAAATGGTGGCGATTACCTGATAGTGTTTAGACACATCCCCAAAGTGACTATAGCCACTTTGCACCATAACCACTGGATTGAACTGTTATACAGACAACATACTGTAAGAATGTTTTAATGGTATATGGTGTATTTAGCGTATATGGGAGCAATTTCAGGTGAAATTATTCATTACATGTTCCCTTTAAATGTTACTCACGGATAATACAAGTATAAAATAATCTCACTTTATTGTGCTAATGCTGAGTCACTCCCGCCTCACGGTGACATAAGACTCTTATCAACATACTGGCAACGCGTGTATCAGGAATGGGTGAGGACAGAGTGAATTCCAACAGGTGTAAACCTTAACCTGAATCCTATGAAAGATTAGGCAGGAACATCAAACAATGGGATAGGCTCATTCATAAATACACTTATAGGGGCAGCTGGAGAACTGAAAAACAAAACAAATGAATAAATCTCTATCAGGACATATATCAACAGGCTATGGGATATCACAAGACAAAATCGAGATCTATTGACAAAACAATCACTTTGCCAAGGCAGAAAAACAGGAAAGGTTGGCCAGTTAAAGGATACAAATTTCAGAAACAGCCAGACCTCTTCCACTTGTATTTGACTCCGCTAATCCTGAAAGAAACACATTCAAATCCTTAAACAAGGTCTTTGTAGTTGTCGGAATGGGGTTTATTAGCCAAACAGCGACTTGTGATAAATCAGAAATATAGTTCAGGAAATAAAAATACAGCAGTTTTAGTCATTTTGAATGAAATATTGTAATTCTGTTTCCAGTTCCACACAGTTTGCAGTTTGGTGAAGAAACCCACATGGGTTCTGTCTACACAGAGATGTCACTTTTTTTAATATTTTGTTACAAATCTTTTAACCCCTTAAGGACTGAGGCAGTTGTACAAGTTCAGATCAAAACAAAACGTAAACAAAACTTTGAATTTGCGCTATATGCCTGTTCAACAATACGGTCTCTTTCATATTAAATGCACCCACACTTATACGTCATTTTGTTCAGGAGAAACCGGGCTTTTATTTCATATCAAATATTAATATATGAAACATAATTTAATATGAATAAACTATTTTTAAAAATGAAAAATTAGGGGCTCAAAGGCAACATAACCAATCTGGCAAATTTCAATGTAAAAAAAAACAGAAATGCAAGCCTGGTATTTGACTCTGTGACCTTTGAAAACACCATAAAACCTGCACATGGGGGGTACTGTTCTACTCGGGAGACTTCGCTGAACACAAATATTAGTGTTTAAAAACAGTAAAATGTATCACAACAATATCATCAGTGAAAGTGCCGTTTGTGTGTGAAAAATTCAAAAAATTGCACTTTCACTGCGATATCATCATTGTGATACGTTTTACTGTTTTAAAAAACTAATATTTGTGTTCAGCAAAGTCTCCCAAGTAAAACAGTACCCCCCATGTACAGGTTTTCTGGTGTTTTGGAAAGTTACAGGGTTAAATATATCGTGCTTACGAACCAAACTCTGTGGACTTTCTGCCAGGGTTGTCAGGCAGGTCTCTCAAATCGTAATTAATAAAAATGACTTAATTAAGTAAAAATATTATATAAATATATATGTAGAATTTAAATATATATATATATATATGTACATATGTGTATGTCTATGTATATATGTATATATATGTAAAAAATATATTATTTTCATTTTTAAAGATATATATATAGAGATATATAGCTATATATTTATGTATATTGTTATATATAGATTTTTTTTAAAGTATTTTGATATCAATATATATATATTTATATCAAAATACATTTAGAACTAAATTGCAAATTGCGCATGTATAAATCTTTTTTTACTTGTTTCTGTATTTATTTTATATTATAAATACATATTTATAAAATTATAACTAAATATAATTAATATCATTCTAAGTGTATTTTAATAGTAATATATATATATATATTAATTAAAATAAACTTAGAGACATAGTGTATGTGTATGTATTTGTATATATATATATGTATATACTTAGATCATATATATATATATAAGTATTAGATATATAATCTAAGTATATATTTTTTAATTACTAACTGTCATAAACGTTATTTAACTTTATTTCAGGGAGCAGGGGGACTGCCTGTCATTCCAGGCAGGCCCCCTACAAGCACTGCTGTGGTCGGCTATTCCGTCCATGTCATCGCGATCACATGACCCGGGAGGGCCGGATCAGCCGCAGGGGGACTCCCTGGGATGCAAGGTAAGTCCCCCCATCGCGATCGCCAGGTAAGTGTAATGGACGACGTGGACGTACCATGCCGCCCGCCGGCGTTTAGGACCGGGTCCAAAAGTACGCCCGCCTTCCTTTAGGGGTTAAAGACAGACTGTTCTCAGTGATGGGTGATCTGCAGCAGTTGTTATCCTGGCATTAATGTTGCTGGATTGGGGGCTTCATGGCTCTAGAGTTGAAAGTTACACTGGATTGAAATATAAATGTTGAATTTGTGTTTCTGATCTCATGCACCTGATCTCCATCTGCAACTAGATTTTATAACCACATGTAAAATCCTACACGTGTACATTTATACGTAGATTTCAAGATGGGTCAACCACAGAAAAAAATTAATGGGAAAGCAAGAAGTACACCACTCTTCTATGGATAATGGAGCACAGGGAATCCATTCTATGGGTTATGGGGCACAGGGAATTAATGGGTTATGGGGCCCATCCAACGGGTCATGGGGCATAAGGAATTCATCATATGGGCCGTGGGGTAGAGCCATTCTATGAGCCATGGGGCACAGGAAATCCCTCCTACAGATCATTGGGCACAGGGAATCCATCATATGGGTCATGGGGCACAGAGAATACATCATATGGGTCATGGGGCACAGGGAATCCCTCCTACAGATCATTGGGCACAGGGAATCCATCATATGGGTCATGGGGCACAGAGAATACATCATATGGGTCATGGGGCACAGGGAATCCCTCCTACAGATCATTGGGCACAGGGAATCCATCATATGGGTCATGGGGCACAGAGAATACATCATATGGGTCATGGGGCACAGGGAATCCCTCCTACAGATCATTGGGCACAGGGAATCCATCATATGGGTCATGGGGCACAGAGAATACATCATATGGGTCATGGGGCACAGGGAATCCCTCCTACAGATCATTGGGCACAGGGAATCCATCATATGGGTCATGGGGCACAGGGAATCCATCATATGGGTCATGGGGTACAGGAAAACCATCACGTGGGTTATTGGTATCTAAGGTGTGTGTGCTATGAGCTTGGACAAGGGCTAGGACCCTCCTACGTGCAGTGGGCCAAGGGTACATTTGAGCTCCTTCAGTTGTGATTAAGAGCACAGATCAGATACAGTTTAGTATACAAAGTTCCAAAGCTTTAGCACTTTAGAATTTATGGATTGTGTTTCCCACAATGTTCACCAGGCCAAATAAGATACTTGAGCCTCCATTGCAACACACCGAGTGTGACAACCAGCATTTCAGGGCAGTAGCTCTATTTCTCCAGATCAGCTCTTCGGGTCCAACTCTTCAGGTCCTTTTCTCAGCTCTCCATAATTCTCCATTATATGAATATTATTATTATGCCATAGCTTCCGTGTATAATCAGGAGTCAACTAACATCTGTTTTAATCTGGAAAATGTGAAAATTATTGAATTTGATAAATAATTTATAAAAATTTGAACTTTTACACCAGAGCTCTTCGAATTCAGGAAGGTAGTCGACCATGATGACAAGGAGTGGCACCCTAAAACTTGGCTGTACACCCAGCTGCTTCCTTTCTAGAGGAAACTAAAATACCTACTTTCTGGGGACTCAGTAAGTCCATTTCATTGTATTCTAAGTTTAAGGACTATAGGCACCCAAACTACTTCATCTCATTCCATCCCTGTCCCTTTTACCCTGCAATGTAAACATTGTAGTTTCAGAAAAACTACAAAGTTTAAATTGCAGCATTCAGATTGCCTTTAGTGGCTGTCTACCAGACAGCCACTAGAGGCACTTCCTGCTTTATCATGGAGTTTAACTATGTAAACCAACGCTGGACATCCTCAAGCTTTGCAGGAGGACATCTAGCGTCTTCAAAGCCCTCATAGGAAAACATTGATTCAATTATATGCACTATGACAGCAGAGCCAGTTGGACACAGAGGAAGGAGCAATTTGACCCAAGATGCAAAGGAATAAAAAGACTACTCTATAGCAGGAAAATTATTTTCTATGATCCTCCTCCTATGATGTCCACTTTGTTCTGGAAATGGAACAATAGATCTCTCCAATTCTTGGTTCCGTACTGAAACCAGTGGAAGAATTAATGGAGATTTGAGTGTGTGTTATATGTGATGTAAGCGTGGCCAGTCGTTCTCCATAAGAGTAAATAAAAACACATGCATGGCTAATGATCTGGTGGTATGCATTCATTCCCAATTCACATACATTCATTTTCACTCACTTCACTGTAGATCACAAAGCAAGCGAAAACTAGTAGAAAAGCCGGTGGCTTCTGTTAATTACTCATGGCCAGTGGAAGCTTGTCCATTGGGTTACCTAACTTTCTGATTTTGTGTGTCTTCATTTTGTAATCAAACCCTCTAAATTTAGTTGTTTGTTCTTGAATTTTCTAAGTTATACTCTTCAATAATCCTCATAACAATTGTACGACTTTACCTAAAAAGCCAGCCCCAAGTAAATTATTCTAAGTATCGTGTCCATGTCACATGGCGAACAGCCGCTCCAGTTCCTTTCAAGTAGCAATTTATGTGTTTTTGTACACTTACCCTGTTTGTTTTTTTAGTTACAGTGACCCTTCATACTTTGGAGATCATAATCTACAGAGCATTTTAAAGAATTATTTTTTTAGGCATTATCTCCCTTTAAAGGTGCAAACACACAGAACATTGCGTGTTCCGCTTTGCTACTTTGAGAGATTAAGGTGTATGCGTTGCACCTTAGGCTATTGGTTTAAGAGGTGCCTAGTAGTTACACCAGATAAGACCCTGGGTAATTAATATAGTTCTTGGATACAGACTGAAATGCACGCCGGGTCATCTTCAAGATATCTTTTATGTAGTAGAATCCGCTGCTGTAAAGGAAGAAGCTTTAGATAATTCCGCTGTACAGCACAGCTCAGCATCGCAGTTAATCTTTCCTAAATCTGCACTAGAGCTTTGATTTACTTGTGTGTTTGCAAAGTACAACTCTGCAGCAATCTTACTTACAAGAAAAATATGAAATATGCCTAGCAAGCAATGTTTCATTTATTTTGTCTTTTAAGATCTTGATAAAGTAATGTTGTGATATCATGTGATGTAAAGGAAACATACTATGTATATCATGTTATCTGATCAGTTAACATTAAAATAGATTTTGCTATGGTACAGTATTCCTTGATCATTGATCAATGATCAATGCACATATTCTGCCCGGAGTGTTTTATTAAGTGGACAAAGGGTGACAATTTAACACGTTGAAACCTTAGTTATTTACCCATAAATATATAAGGTTTCAACGTGTTAAATTGTATATATTAAGGTCATCAGAGGATTGTTTAGATCTCATGGGGCTCACATTAATATGAACATTATTGACATTGTACATTTAATAATAATATAGCATACAGATGTTCAGCTCCCCAAAGAATTTATTGGGGAGCCTCGTGGAAAGATTGGAGAAGGGAAAGGCTTCACCAGAATGAATACCCTTCAAATTGGCCACGATAGTGGAGCTATGGATCTCAATCTTCTCTGATATCTATGAGTATCTATATCAGGATTTTGAAAGCTGCTTGGCCTGTATTGTTCTATGCTATTTCTGACTCTGAAAACAAGGAATTGGGGATCCAGCCCATGCATTTCTTAGCAGCTGTGCTGCTGTAAAGACCAAAATATACAATGCAATAAACAGATTAAAGAGAAACTGTTGTCAAAATATGAACTAACCTGAACTCACTCCCATATACATTGAATACATCATATATCACAAAGATACATGATGTATTTAAAGTAAAATATAGAGATTTACTCACCTCTCCTCCATTCCAAGGCCGCCATCAAGCCTCGTAGGTGTTACTTTTCATGTACCATCCACCTCCGAGCCATCCTCAGCTCCTCCTCTGCTCTGCCTCTGGTCTTCAGTGACTTGCCAGCTAGTGGACACTTCTCCAAGCTGGCCAAACCTCCTCAGTGACACCCGCATGTTGGCTTCATTGTTCAGTGGTCCACTTCTATAAGCTTGTGTGGCTATCAACTTTGTAAGAGTGCTATTTTTTTTACTTTTTAATGTGTCCTCTTCAAATTACCAGAACGTATAGGTAATGTAAATACACTTACCGGTGTATAACAACATATGAAACATTTTTGGTTGTGTGTCTTTTTAAGGGATACCCCAGGCACCCACACACAAACTGTTTTAGAAGAGTTTGACATCTTACCAGGGTCCACTGGATGTCAATCCCTGCCTCTACTACTAACAACAGAGAGCTTGAAGTTTTTTGTCTAAATTAAGCACTGCAGCTGATGCTCTCAGTGAATGAGCTAGCTTAGCTCAGCAAAGCTAACAGAAACTCCTTCTTAGGACCTTTGGACTCCATCATCAGTAATCAAGGCAGGTAGCAGCATCTGTTAGACCCCAAGTAAGAAATCTAACCCATTTAAAATGATCTGACTACTCGCAGTGTGATGGGGGTGGGGCAGGGCACTCCTGGCACCATAACCACTGTAGTGGATCAACTTTGTAAGAGGGCTATTTTTAGAGTTTTCCTTTAATGTAAAATCTGCTCATGGTGAGTGCAAAGATCACTGCAGAAGCTGCAAGTCTGTAGAATTCCAGCAAATGCAGTAGCAAAAAAAAAAAATTGAACGTCCATTTAAAATGTATAAAAGTCATGTATAAAGTTCTTGTCCGCTTGCTTTTTCTTGGCAGGATTATGCTGAACAGGACTTCACAGTTTAACTCTTAAAATCCCTGATGAGCGAGCAGAGAACTTAAAACTCTCCTTACCAAATCAGGAATTCCACAGATAACTTTAAGTATCTTCTTTATCCGTGTCCATTATCTGATTTGTCTCAATAATTGTAGTTGAGAAAAAAAAGTTCACAAAACACAAGTTATCTAAGACATATACGTAATAATGCATTTAGATACCGGGATACGAAGGGTCGGAACTGCATATTTTTAGCATTAGACATAATGAACAACTTTCACCGGATGTCAAAATGATTTGTGAATTATTAGATGTTCTACGAAAGAATATCATTCTCTAAAAAACCCTACAGTATGGCAGAAGAAGCCAAGATTTTTCTGTGACGCACCAATATCCTGAGAGAAGAATGGGAGCTATCTGGCAGGATTTAGTATGACTGCATTTTTACAGTAAATCTTTAGTAACTCTAGCTGCTGAATAACCTTGCAGTCCCCCCTTGGGGTCTGACGCACCATTACAACCATAAAAATGTCTTATAAAAGAATGCAGGGTAGCTATCGGAAGGAAAACGTGGTTTATTATTTAAACAACCCTTTTACTGCTGGAAAAGTCTACATCCCGAGTCTTTTTACAATGCATTTTCTTCTATGTTATGGTTCGATGTTAATATAGATAAAGTGGGAAGGCCCATCCTGTTATACATTTAATTTGTATAAAATAGACCAAATGGAACATTTACAGATATATTAAGTACGCTGATGACAGCCTAGCACATACTCAACACATTCAACTAAGGAACTTGTATTCAGCAGTGAGATAATGAAGATGAAATAAAATGTTGTTATAAAATATAGAGTAAAAGGTTAGAACCAGGGCATAGAATGACCGTCTAACTCTGTTAATAGGGTGCTGCGAAACGCGTTAGATATAGCATGAATCTCAATATTTTTTTCCTGTATGTGGTTAGATACCTATATATTTATTTAGTATTGTTTTGTTTAAGAAAATTAAGTTGACAAGCATTCCAGAGTTAATTACATGAATTTATAGGCTGTTAATGTTAATTGTGACTTTTTTTTTTTTTTTTACTTGAATGTGATTTATTGTTCCTCTAAACAAATGACAACAAAATGGTCACACACATTTTTGTCTCAGTTCAGGCCTAATCATAGAAACCTATGGAAGCTGTATTTTGAGAGAGACTAGTTTTGCCACTGGGATAGTCCACAAACACATGTATGCTTTCTATGAGCACTAACAGAAACGTCTATTATTTATTAATTAAAACATAGAATATGAGAACTGTAAGAATAGGAAAAAGCTCTGAGAAACCTCAGTAACTTGTCCTTTGGTTAGTCCCCGCTCAGGTCTCAAAAATGTTCATACTCATTTGTGCCATTATAGAGAGAACCTGTGCCATTTGCACATCAGACTGAGGGCACCCATAAGAAGAGGCCAGAAATGAAATGCTTGCAAGTTCTGGATACAGCAACCTGGACTATCTTTTCTGTCTTCTTTTGGTCCTCATCAACGAGGTGTAGATGATACCTCTCTAGGCACAGTAAGCACAGGGTCCACATCTGAATTATCTTTTTTTAACTTAGGGAGAGCCTAGATAGATGCATTGCAGCACAAACAGAGAATATGAGGCGGGACTAACTAAAGAACAAGTTCACAAAGATCTCATATTCTCTGTTTTATGTATTCATTATTATGAATACAGTGGTCTAACAATGATAAACAAAGGGTCAAGTATTGTGGGCTACCCAAAATGCAGAACCTGAGCCTAATACTATCCAGATATACAGAACTAGGACTAGTGCATATTATTGGTCTTTAGGGTTGTTGGACTTAGCACTTTACCTAAAGAGCGTGAATTGGCGAAACGAGTAGTAAGTAAACTAAGGTTAAGAAGTTTTAGATGTACACAGAATAAATAAGTCAAGCCAAGTCAGGGAAACCAGACAGGTCAAGAACAAGCCACGTCTAATACCAGAATAACAGACACAACACAAAGGATGCACTATTGAGATCCCAGAGAAATGCACAGGTTTCAGGAAGAGCAAGGCAATGTGCTCCAGGTACCATTCATTTCTGCACAACAAGAACATATATGTGTATAGTAGCCAGAATGATGCAATGTAGCTACGGGTACCCTTGCAAGTAGTAACATAACAGATAAGTCTGAGCACATTACAAACCAGATATAGGAAACACATAGTAGTTTATTAACCATATCAATGCCCCTGCTAGTGACAAATCAAGATGTTGCTGTAGGGCCATGTTTCTTATCTACATAGCAATGTAGACTTGCTGGTGGTGATAATATTGAAGGGATGCCAGTGGAATCATAGCATATTATGGAATTCTTTTGCTATAAGCAACTGCAGCCTAAGATGTAAGTGAACATAATGATATTCTATTAGAACTGGTTGATCAGTCAATGACTCACTCATTCAGCAAATCCAACGATGCCACCGTCTAGTCCACCTTATCTCACAGAAGACATGGGACCTGTGCTGTAGGTAGGGTTGCCTTTCTCTTATAGTGGACAGTACTTGGTTTGCCAGCTTACTCCCCTGAAGATAATGCAGTAGTAGATATTCACATGATAATGTTAGTGTAAACTCACATGTTCAGTGAATCATTAATTGCCTGCAGCCTGTTTGTCTAAGCTTGATTGCGCTTTTATTGCCACTCCTCATAGAGCAATCGATACAAAATGATACAAAGAACTGTTACTGATAGGTATATAGTGACAAGTTAAAACACAGTATGTTTCCGGAAAGGTATCTAGTGTCACCAAGAACCAGAATCTCTGTTTTAACCCCTTAAGGACCAAACTTCTGGAATAAAAGGGAATCATGACATGTCACACATGTCATGTGTCCTTAAGGGGTTAAACTAGTCAATAAGTGTGTAAAAGGTATTTTTTATGAACCCAGGAAATTAAATCAAGTTTAAAAAAAAAAATTAATAAAAGGTGTAAATGTTTTCACTGCCGCCCCATCATCAAATAATATAGGGCAGTTTAGATCTATCTTGCAAGGTAGGTTTGAATTCATATTATGATCATCTGAAAATAAATATTTTTTTTAAATGTTGCAAAGTAACATATACAGATAAGCAGGTTTTTCAGGTTATTAATGTAATATCAAGAAAATGAAATGTTAAAATGCAATCAGGTGCTCGGTAAAAGGGCTTAAAGGGACTCTATAGTCACCCAGACCACTTCAGCTCAATGAAGTGGTCTGGGTGCCAGGTCCCTCAGGTTTTAACCCTTCAGATGCAATCATAGCAGGTTCAGAGAAACATTTGGGGTTAAGACAGCCTCTAGTGGCTGTCTTCCGGACAGCCACTAGAGGCGCATCTGCGACGCTGGAGGCATATTATGCTTCCATCGCGCAGAGCGTCCATAGGAAAGCATTGAGAATTGAAAGCTTGAATGCGCGCGGCAATTGCCGCACATGCACATTCGGCTCCGCTGACGTCAGCAGAGGGAGGAGAGGTCACCTGCGCCATGGGAGCCCGGCGCTGGCTTAAGGTAAGCTGCTGAATGGGGTTTTAACTCCTTCAGCGCCATGGGAGGGGGACCCTGAGGGTGGGGGCCCTATAGTGTCAGGAAAACCACTATGTTTTCCTGACACTATAGTGATCCTTTAACAGGCCTCACTTACATTCAACAGAGCATCATTCTGCTCAATATTTGTACATTTTAAGGGTGTTCTAAAGAGGTCCTTACAATACTGTGAACCTCTTTGGTGATGTCTTGTTGTAGATATGAATTGAAGATACAGGAGCTTTAAACCACACAGGTAAAAAGGGGTATTATGATAAAATATAATAGCTAAACTCAGTCATCATAACCTAGATTCATTTGAGTGTTCTGCAGCTCAGAAGGTCTCTGGGACTCATCGATCTTGCCACTATATATTGTCACTTTTAGTTCTCAATGAACAACACTTTCACTCTCACAACATGTTTTACCAGTTATTGTTGGCTTCATCAGGAGTACTGACAACTCAGTACTTACACCAATCCAACAATATTTGCACATCCTTAGACTTTCTAAATATAGATGTTCTGTGTGTCTGCAGTGGTTGTTGTACTTAGATTGCCCTTTAACGTTTTATTTACAAAACAGTAAATTCTAGTGTCCATTTAAATGACGTGGTTTATAATTCCGATCAATTCCATACAAATCTAGTTTTTTTATTTTCAATGGAGATGCCTAAATCTTCAGAAATAAAATAGACACGTCTAACAGTGATAAATCAAAATTATTATTTTTTTAAATGTCATTATTTTTAACACGTGTTAACATCAGCAAACATTACAGAATCCTGCCGTGTATTGACATTTTCTTTATCTATTACATATTTCAATAAAAACATCCTGAGAGTGATGAGATTTGTGGACAGGCAGCAGCTGTGCTGGGTGAGGCTTTTCTGGGAACACGGACAACATATGGTCAGTGCTGACTGCTTCAGCTGGTCACGGAGAAAGTTTTCTCATAAATATTTTACGTGCAGATAATAGGATGAACCAGATATGACTGGAGCGGCAGTCATCCAAGAACGAAACCTTGTTCTGCACTTTATTTACTTTATTAAGTGAGTCAATGAAACATACATCATAGCTATAGTTTTTTGAAAAGACCACAGAGGGAAAACGTTGTTCCCAAAAATGTTTCTAAGCTGGAATCATCACTTACGATTTTGCGACACTAACCACTTTCGATGAAATATTACAGATTAAATGTTCTACTGTACATTTGGTTTATAAGCTTAATGACAGATCACTAGTGATCACAACTGATGTTTCACTCTATATAATTCAGCAGTGTGTTTTCCTATTGCTTAAGCAACTGATTTAGTCCAGCTGCCAAGTGCTTCTCTTCAAGTACCTATTGGGCACTAACAGTCTAAGAAAAATTGCAAGTGTTATCTTAGAGCAGGGGTAGGCAACCTTCGGTACTCCAGATGTTGAGGACTACATCTCCCATAACGCTAGTGCTGCCATAATGCTGCCACAGCATTTTAAAGAGTGACTGTCCCAGCCAATCAGGCTTTTGGATCAGACCCCATGTGACAGGAAGAGATCAGAGCTTGACTATGAAGACTGCACTCCACTCCAGGTTAGACAGCAGGTTTCAAGAAGGATCCCTGGATTAGTTTTCCATTACAACTTAAAGGGAATCTCTAATCTATACAATCACTACATCTACTCCAACCTATCACTTCCATCCAAGGTTGGACGGCACTGGGTGAAGAAAAACTTCAGAAATTGAAGGGTTACTCCAACCCTGTCTCAGCATGCTGTGTGTGATGCCAACAGATTAAAAATAGCCCAACTTTTGTTATGGGTTGGCCCCCTGAAGTGGCCATGGTGCTTGGAATAACCATTTAAACCTCCCTACTATCTAAGAGGAAGTAGAGGGGATTCTAAGAGAACCCTGTTTTTCTCTGGCCGCTCATAAAAAGATCAGCTTACAGGGGGTAAAGGACAGAGCCTGTAAACTCCTAAAACTATGAATACTACAATAAGTTTAGTGGTTATGATAATTAGACTGTGCCTTTGATAATATAAAACATGAAATGAAAGAAACTGGGAACCCTGATGAGCCTCTAATCCAGGCGAAACGCGCGTCGTGCTTACCACATACCTTTGTGGGACTCACCGATCAAGGTTCCCTCTATACAGGGAAAGTATATTCTGACCAGGGTCGTCTGGGCTTATCACTTTCCTTTGTGGGACTTACTGATTAAGGTTCCCTCTATACAAGGAAAGTATATACCGATCAGGGTCGTCTCTATTCACAGTTAATTTGAATTGGCAGGACTTCTCTAGCAGTAACTGCCTAGTTATTTTCTATTTTTCACACTGTTCTTCTTTACAAGGTGCCCACGAAGGCACCATTCCTGTCACCCTACTCTCTACTCTCTACAGTAATATATAGTCAGAGGTTCTGTAAATTAGCCTCTATAGCTGACCGATGGATGAGACTGCAAATTAGTGCACCTCACATTGTATCAATCTAGTTACCAGCATATCACTGTGAGGATACCTTTGAGGATTAATTCATTACATTATTTCTTTTCTTATAGAAGAACCCTATTACTACTAGGCAGCTGAGCCAGTTCCGCTTAATTAGCCATGCGCCGACCAAGGCAAATATCTATTCACTCGATTCCCCCTTACTGCAATAGTTTATTTTACCCGGAGTTCGGGCGGATTACTCACCAATTGTGAAACTATTCCTACTGACAATATTCTGATACATTCCAGTGCATTAGACGCACTTTGGACACATCGCTATAGAATTAGGGTTCTCTCTATTACTGTCCGGTTAGAACTCACCCCCCCTCTTTTTGATTAGTAGTTACTACTTGGCTTATCTTAAACCTATCAGTACATTACTGAGAGGTTTCCATCCAGTATTCACTTATGATACTGCTTCTATAATCGAAGGAATTCTACAACTACTAGGCAATTAAGGTTACCTTCATTCTCTAGCCACATTGCTGATTGAGGCATTGCCTTTAACTACCTGATTCTTCTTAGCTCGAATTGCCAATCATACTGAGTCTGGGCGGGTTGCCCACCAACTGTCAATAACATTTCTATTACAGTTATTATAGTATATAGGATGCACTCTGGATACACTATTATAGACATTAATCCAGATACATCTTAGCGTATCCGATATACTGTGAAGCACCACCATAGATACTCCGTTCTCATTTACCCTATGCATCACCCCACACTCCCTTACCCTTCTGTATGTGTGCTGGCTGCGTAGACTACTGTAATTGACTTATTTAGTCAGGCAGCCGCAGTTAGGGTTTATTCATTTACTCTATTATTTTTTTGTCCTTGCTATTTACAGTAAAGTATCTTCGTGATTTTTAGAAGCACGCTGAGTTCTTTCTCTTTCTATATCATTATTGGGAACAGACTTTCCTCCTTCTCTCATTCTAAAATTAAAACATCATTCTGTTTTTAGTGTTTCTTTTTCCTTTTTTTTTTTGAATACTTTGAGAGGTTCCTCTCTCTTTTAATCCTCAGCCCACAAACAAGGAAGTTTGTAATAAGCCCAGCATTAGAGGCGCATTCCACGTTACATTGCGACTTTTCAGTTAAGTGTCTGGGATTGCCACTGCTAATCCCACTTCTGCCACTCATACGTCTCTTAGTAACATACCTGCGGATCAGACATAAATCCCAGCAGCCTGTAGAAACGGCATTAGAAAAAGCCTCAGAAGAGCAAAAGGAACACTCAAACAATGTCTGTCACTCGTCAGAAATATAACAGGACTTCCATTATATTTTCACATTTACACCCAGCCCTTTGGCTATTAAGAGTTGAGACAGAAAGTGACTGCTATCATGTTAACTATTAAAGGAGTGGGGAATAGTCGCAGGTTGAAGCAGCTTTACATTGCTTTACATTGCTCACCCACGCTCCAATCCTTCAAAATATCATTAAAAACCCACTTCTTCATTATTATAAATAGTATTATATTATTTTTATAGCGCCATCAGATTCCGTAGCGCTGTACAATGGGTGGACTAACAGACATGTAATTGTAACCAGACAACTGGACGTACAGGAACAGGCCCTGGAGGGCCCTGCTCAATGAGCTTACATTTTCATAAAAGTGTATC